GGAAGGGCTTGGAGAAATCGGGCAGGGCCAAAACTGGGGCTTCAACGAGAGCCTGCTTCAGTGTTTCAAAGGCTACAGTATGGTTGGCAATCCAAATAATGAGCTCGCCCTTCTTGAGCAGATCAATCAAGGGCCTAGCAATCACAGCGTAGTGCTTAACGAACTTCCGATAATAACCTGTGAGTCCGAGGAAACTGCGGAGCTGCTTGACATCACTTGGTTGCGGCCAGGCTTGCACAGCGGCAACCTTTGATGGATCCGTGGAGACTCTTTACGCACTGACGACATGACCCGAGTAGTTGATAGATTGCTGAGCAAAGCAGCATTTGGAGAACTTAACCAGCCACTGGTCTTTGGAAAGCAAATCAAAAACTTGTGCCAGGTGCTTAACACGGTCTTCATAAGAGGCGTTGTACACAAGGATGTCGTCGAAAAACACCAAGGCACACTTGTGAAGGAGTGGACGTAATGTATTGTTCATAGCACCTTGAAATGAATTTGGGGCGCCTGTTAACCTGAAGGACAAGAAGGTATACTCGAACTGGACCCAGTGTGTTTGGAAGGCAGTCTTGTGTTCTTCCCCAGGAGCAAGGCGTATCTGGTTGAAACCTGCCCGTAGATCCAAACAAGAGAACCAACTGGCCCCAGAGAGTTCATCCAAAAGTTCATCGATGATCGGAATGGGAAACTTGCTCTTCACAGTGAGTGCCTTGAGTTGGCGGTAATCGACGCAAAAGCGCCAGTTGTTGTCTTTCTTCCTGACCAAGAGAACCGAAGAAGAGAAGGCTCTAGTACTAGGGCGAATGAAACCAGACTGTAGCATCTCTGTCACCTGAGCCTCAATCTCAGTCTTCAAAGCTGGTGAGTACCGATAAGGACAGGCAGAAACAGGCTGAGCACCTGGAATGAGGGGAATGGAGTGATCATAGGCCCAACACGGAGGCAGCTCGGTCGGCAACCTGAATAAGTGCTGATACTGAGACAACAGCGTCTGAATCTCTGGCAGATCACTATGCACTGATGTAGTCAATTCATCCCCTTCAGCGGACAAATGATGGAGCTGAACTACAGAACAATCAAGCTGCTCTGGTAGACTGCCTTATAACACCACATTGTTGGGCCCATAAGGAATTTGAACCCAACGTTGAAGCCAGTGAACTTTCATGGGTGAGAATGCCTATAGCCAATCCATCCCCAGAATCATGCCATATGTGCTAAAGGGAATGAGCTTGAGGGAAGAATGGAAAACATATCCTTGAATAGACCACTCTGCATACGGTATTTGAGCAGTACAAGACACTGAGTCACCATTGGCAACCTTGACAGAAGTTAGAACTGATAATTGCTGGACCCCATTCAGAGAAACTGCCTATTTGCTATCCAAAAATGAGTTGGTGCTCCCAGAATCTAACAAGATGTTGATACGCTGTCCTTGAAGCATGCCTTGAAACTACAGAGTTCTTGGGTGGAATGACTGAGAAACAGCAGCAGCGGACAGGAGCATGAAGGACTAATCTATAGTAATAGGAGTATCTGGCTCAGAACTTTCTGTCTCAGTGAACAGCTCTTCACAAAGATCCCACACCTCCTGTAATGCATGTAATTGGAGGGCCAGAGAGCATTTGTGGCACTGGTGCCATTTCTCCCCGCAACGCACACAGAGGCCTCGGGCTTTCTTGTAAGAGCGGAGGGACTGCAACTTGTCGTCAAGTGACACACGGTGAAAGTCAGGATGATGGTCTTCAGGAGGGCACTTCAGTTCCGGTGGCACGGGAGGAGCTGGAAGTGCCAGCCGCTGGGGAGGAGCAGGAAGCGGCAACACCCCCGAGATGCAGCCAGCTTCAGGAATGCGGGAGCATTAGTACGCCGGAACTTCCTTCGGCGTGTCGGCTCGACGGCCTCCTCCTGCAAAAGGGCAAACGAACAAGCAGCATCGAGATCGGTGGGACGCTGAACAAGAACAATAGAACGGATATTGTCGTGGAGCCCATCGATGAAGCGTGTGGTGTAGGAGAGGGTATCTAGGTTAGGTGTATATGCCGATAGCTGCTCAATATGGTCAACAAATTGATCGATGTATTCTTGAACCGAAGCAATTTGCTTGATGTGGAATAGTTGGCAGATGAGAAGCATGTGTTGATCGCGGCAGAATCGCTCGCGCACCATTGCACAAAAGTCCTGCCAACCAATGTGTTCAAGGCGGTGTGCAATGGATTGAATCCAGCGCTTGGCTGCATCGGTGAATTGCATTGTAGCGACTTGAACCCACATGGATTGATCAACAAAGTACATATCAAAGTAGGAATGGGCCTGAGTGATCCACAGTTGGGGGTTGGTACCATCGAATTGGGGGAAATGCATTTTGGGTAATTGGCCAAGATGGGAGGATTGGGGTTGGATTTGGGTAGGATCTGGTGGTGGGGGTGGAAGTTGGGCGTCCGCGACTTTGAAGGTGGGGTTGGGAGGGGGAGGAGGACGGGGATTTGGAGCGAGATGAGGAGGAGGATCGGGGAACCGACAGGTACCATTGGCTAGGGTCGGAGCTATGGTTGTGACCAACCCATAGCCCCTCTCCCATGTAGTCGATTCGACGCGGTACCCGCTGGGCCAGTCGGTCGGTGTCCCGGTAGATGAGCGCGCGGCGACCAACTCCGGCTACCACAGAGTACCCGATGTGGGTAGCTCCACCGCAGCGCGACCTCCACTCGACCGGATATTCTTCACCTCCAAGCGAAGATCGTCGATCAGGCCGTCCACCTCCGAGCGCCAATGGACGAGCTCCTCCACGGTGGTTTCGACGGCAGCCACCATGTCGTTGCGCTCGTCGTTGATCTCGTGGATGCGAATCAGCTCGAGATCCACCATCCGCTGCTCATGGTCGGAGACTCGCTCTTCGAAGTGGGCCCCCCAGTTGTCGGTGATGACGGCGACGGTGTACTGTGCAGAGGCGTACTCCTCCAACGACTTGATCGTCGGTCCACAGCCGCGTCCCACTCTTGGAGCTCGGAAGTCACCTCCTCAAAGCGGCGCTCCCACCGCTCCCATCGAGCGCTGGAATCGGTGCGGAGGTCATCGATCCGCTTGAGGACTTCGTCGAAGAGAGAGCGCACGTTGGGATCCATGACTCCCTTGGCGCGCTGAAGACGGGTGAAGTGCGGGTGTGGCTCCGGTGGATCCAGCCCTTGGAGGCACCGGATTGATGGCTTTGATACTAGTGTCGACGCCGCGCGGTGCGGCGGCTCCAGGGGATCGGTAATGGGGAAGACGAGAGCCCGTCGAACAAGCTGTCGGCTTCGGTAGAGTGATTAGGTTAAGTTTTTTTGTCTCTCTTCCTTCCCTTCCACTCTACTTCTACTCCTCATTGCTGGGCTAGGGTTCGCAAATGTTACAGACCCATTCTGGGCTGGATACTCTCTTGTTCTTGGGCCTGCTGCGAGTACTCCTCTTCGGCTCGGTGATGACTGGGTGCGGCGTCGTGACACATTTTCTCTGACTACTCTCTGAATCAAACTAATTTCCCTGACTGCAGCATTTAGTACTGGAATCCTCAAATTTGCCGAGTGTTTTTATGTTTGCCGAGTGTATTTCTTCAGGCACTTGGCAAACAAGCTCTTTGCCGTGTGCTGAGCTAAAAACACTCAGCAAAAAACAAACACTTGGCAAAGAGGGGGTTTGCCGAGTGTCAAAAAAAACACTCGGCAAAGATATGGTTTGCAGAGTGTCAAAAAAACACTGGCAAAGAAATAAAATCATTTTTTTTGAAAAAGAAGAAGAAAAAAAAATGGAAAAAAAAACTTTGCCGAGTGCTCAGATCTAGAACACTCGGCAAAGAAATAAAATATTTTTTCTAGAAAATAATGAGAAAAAAATAAAAAAAAAACTTTGCCGAGTGCTCAGATCTGAAACACACGGCAAACAAATAAATAATATTTTTTCTAGAAACTTTGCCGAGTGTCCAGATCGGACACTCGGCAAACAAAAAAAATCTCGTCAAATACCCTCCCCAGCGCCCCTCCCCAGTCCCCACCCGAGCACCCCGCGCGCCCCTCCCCTCCTAGACCGCCGCCGCTGGCGGCCGGCCCCCGCCGGCGCCTCTCCCTTTTCTTCCCCGGCGCCCCTCCTTCTTCCCCGGCGCCCTTTCTTCTGTGCGGGAACGGTGCTCGGCGACCGGGATGGCACCGCGGCCGGGCGCGGCGGGTCTGGCGCGTGAAGGAGCAGGGAGGTTGCCGGAGGGGGCGACGCCTGTCGGGGCCGCTGTTTCGGTGCTCAGGTGGCTGGATTCAAAGCCCCAGCGGCTGGATCCGGGCTAGCGACGGCGATGCCAGAGGCAACTGCGGGCGGCCGCGTCAGGACGGCGCTGCAGGCCTCGCGATGGCGACTGCGCTGCGGGTGGAGATCCGGTGAGGTGCCGTTTGGGGCTGCCGCTCAGGACGTCGCCGGTGGCTTCGTGGCTTTGGGTAGCAGATCCGGCGCCCCGGTGGCCGGATCCGGTGCTCCTGTGGCGGCAGCGGCGTGCGGCACCGGCGCTAGGGACAGAGGGTGGTGTTGGCTTCGGGTCGGCGGCCAACGTCGGCTTCGGTGAAGTTCCTCGTGTGCACGCCGGTGGTTGGAGCGGCCAGTGGTGGCGGTCGGTGCTTGTTTTTTTTATTTTTTTTTGAAAAAAAAGTTTGCCGAGTGTTTTTTGGGTACTCGGCAACGTCTTTGCCGAGTGCCCAACAAAAAAATACTCGGCAAACTAGGGTTTGCCGTTAAATGTCTTGCCGAGTGTCGTTTGCCGAGCGTAACACTCGGCAAACCCTTTGCCGAATGTTTTTAGAGCTTTGCCGAGTGCTCCTCCTGTATCCGTAGTGATTTCTTTCCGATTGCTGTTCGGAATCAAATAGAGTCCAGTCAGGAGCACTTCTTCCGATTGTTGTATGAACAAAACTGTTTCCCGGTTTGCAGCATTGCCGACCTATCAATATATCATCAGCTAGGTGGAGGATATGCGGTCCGCTTACCTCTATGGTGCTCTCGTCGGTGACGTCGAGCAGCAGCACGGTGAGGCGCCCGGGCGCGTGCACCTCCTTGAGCTTCTGGAGCTCGGCCGCGGAACCCGGCGCGCGGCACGTGGCGACGACGCGGCCTTCGCCGCTTCTCCGCAGCAGCTGCCGCACCTGCACCGCATGGATTCCCAGCGCGCGGAGGCGGAGCAGGCATCAAAACGCAATCCAACAATATGGAGGTAACGGAGGGGGGCGATGCGGAGCGGACAGGGTGAAATGAGAGATAGATGAGGTGGACTCACGAACTCGAGACCGATGCCCCGGGACGCCCCCTGCACCATGGACACGCCGCCGGTGCCCGCGCCGGAAGCCGAGGCGGAGAACGCCCTCGCGGCCACCGCCAGCCTCGCCATCGCTCCCCTTCTCATCGGCGGATCGGATTCGGATTTCGGCCTCAGCCCCTCCTCCTCCTCCTCCCTTTCACAGATTCACATCGGTCTTCGATGCAAATTATTCAATGCAACAAGATTGGATTGAAAAGGTGGTTGCAGTTGGTTGGATGGATTGGGAAGTAATGGTGGCGCCCGTGCTCGTGCTCGTGCTCGTGCTCGTGCTCGCCTCGGGGATTCTCATGGCTGGATGGCGCTACACGTATTCCTTTCTCTCACACACAGTGAAAAGCCGAAAGCGAGCGTCGTGAGGAAACAGGCCCAGAGCAACCGAGCATAGAGTGGGCCTGTGTGCGCATACTGGGCCCACCAGCTACTTTGAGACCTTGTGAGGCCCAGAAGCATTTTCGCGCCATTGCTCTGGCCTCTGGAAAAGACGTCTCTCGGTCTCTGCTGCTGTTTTTTTTCCCCCTCAAAAAGAAACATCCGCAGCCTAGATGTTAAAACGTACCAGGAGGATATCAGATCTTTGAAATATTTTAACATTCGGATCCATACCTATTACTATGGATGAAAACGGTACGGATATTTATTCGACCGTCCGTTCGACCGAATAAATATGAACACTTATCTGGATAGTTATTCAGATATCCGTAATTTTTTTCGGATACGGATACTAAAACGGATATCTTAGGTGGATATCAAATACGGATGTAATATCATCGATATCCGGTGGATATCGGATAATCCGGATAAGTATCAGATATATCCGGATATTTAAAAACGGATATTATCCGGATATTATTCAAACGACCTTGGATGAAGAAATGATCAAAATAAAAATTGTAGATCTCAAAAAGTTATGAAACTTTGTTGTTTACAACTTTTTCGTTTGAAATCATTTAGTGCTTCAAAATTTAAACCGTCCAAACTTTCTCAAATGGAAAACTAGTTTATAGGCGTCAAAATTTAAAAATCACAAATTTAAACCATCCAAACTATCTCAAATGAAAAGTTGACCAAAACAACAATTGTAGATCTTGATGAGTTGAACAAACTTGGTATTCAAAACTTTTCAATTTAAAGTCCTTTAGAGTTCATAATACTAGAGTCAAAGTGTTGTTTTTTATTTGACCAAATTTGACTTGGTCAAACTTGCTCAAATGAGACACTAAATGACCTCAGATGAAAAAACTCTGAGTACCAAGTTTGATCATCTCAGCAAGATCTACAATTGTTACATAGCTCATTTTTCCCATTTGAGAAAGTTTTATCAAACACTAGTCACAAATTCTTAAATCTCATATAGACTTTCTGAAACTATGTCACACACTTGTGAAATTTGAACTATATTTTGTTCAAACTTTCTCAAATGAAAAAATGGCCTATATAAGGATTGTAGATCTTGATGAGATGAACAAACTTGGTATTCAAAACTTTTCAATTTGAGACAATGTAGGGTTCCGAAAACTAGTTTGTAAACGTTGAAATTTAAAAATCATAAATTTGAACCGTCCAAACTATCTCAAATGGAAAGTTGACCAAAACAACAATTGTAGATCTTGATGAGTTGAACAAACTTGGTATTCAAAACTTTTCAATTTGAAGTCATTTAGAGTTCATAATACTAGAGTCAAAGTGTTGTTTTTTCATTTGACCAAATTTGACTTGGTCAAACTTGCTCAAATGAGACACTAAATGACCTCAGATGAAAAAACTCTGAATACCAAGTTTAATCATCTCAGCAACATATACAATTGTTACATAGCTCATTTTTCCATTTGAGAAAGTTTTATCAAACACTAGTCACAAATTCTTAAATCTCATATAGACTTTCTGAAACTATGTCACACACTTGTGAAATTTGAACTACATTTTGTTCAAACTTTCTCAAATGAAAAATAGCCTATATAAGGATTGTATATCTTGATGAGCTGAGCAAACTTGGTATTCAAAACTTTTCAATTTGAGACAATCTAGGGTTCTGAAAACTAGTTTGTAAGCATCGAAATTTAAAAATCACAAATTTGAACCGTCCAAACTATCTCCAATAGAAAGTTGACCAAAACAAGAATTGTATATCTTGATGAGTTGAACAAACTTGGTATTCAAAACTTTTCAATTAGAGTTCATAATACTAGAGTCAAAGTGTTGTTTTTTCATTTGACCAAATTTGACTTGGTCAAATTTGCTCAAATGAGACACTAAATGACCTCAGATGAAAAAACTTTGAATACCAAGTTTGATCATCTCAGCAAGATATACAATTGTTACATATCTCATTTTTCCATTTGAGAAAGTTTTATCAAACACTAGTCACAAATTCTTGAATCTCATATAGACTTTCTGAAACTATGTCACACACTTGTGAAATTTGAACTACATTTTGTTTAAACTTTCTCAAATGAAAAAATATCCTATATAAGGATTGTAGACCTTGATGAGATGAACAAACTTGGTATTCAAAACTTTTCAATTTGAGACAATCTAGGGTTCCGAAAACTAGTTTGTAAGCATCGAAATTTAAAAATCACAAATTTGAACCCTCCAAACTATCTCAAATGGAAAGTTGACCAAAATAAGAATTGTATATATTGATGAGTTGAACAAACTTGGTATTCAAAACTTTTCAATTTGAAGTCATTTAGAGTTCATAATACTAGAGTCAAAGTGTTGTTTTTTCATTTGACCAAATTTGACTTGGTCAAACTTGCTCAAATGAGACACTAAATGACCTCAGATGAAAAAACTTTGAATACCAAGTTTGATCATCTCAGCAAGATCTACAATTGTTACATAGCTCATTTTCCCATTTGAGAAAGTTTTATCAAACACTAGTCACAAATTCTTAAATCTTATACAGACTTTCTAAAACTATGTCACACACTTGTGAAATTTAAATTACATTTTGTTCAAACTTTCTCAAATGAAAAAATGGCCTATATAAGGATTGTAGATCTTGAATCCATGACCATGACTCTATGAGACCCATGAAGCCATGAGCTTGGCTATTTCTACTCATGCCGCGAAGATTGGTGCTTGTATGATGTTTGATGTATGATGTATCTGTATCTTTATCTTATTTGTTACTTTACTCTTTAGTTTTTCGGCTTAATCTAAATGGATTATGGACTCATAGAGTGGTGTAATGGTTTACGCACGTATGATATATATATATATATATGCTGCTTTTACTCAATATCCGAATAGATATTTGTATCCGACCTTCTCCGAATCCGATTCATACCGTATTCGATACTCATTATTCGTATCCGTAACCGAGTCAATCCGTATTCGTATATGTATCCGAACGCTATCCGTGTCCGAATCCAAATCCGAACAGAAATATGAAAACAAATATAATATGAGTGATATCCGTTCGTATCCGATTCGTTTTCATCCCTACCTATTACCACCACTCCTCACAATAACTGATGACCAAATACGACGCTACTATTTTATATTCAACTATACGAATACTTTATTTGAACATTTACTGTTACAGGTCTGACATTCGCTGTCGGTTTTTAAGAAACCGGCAGTATCCGATAGTAATAGGACCAACCAACACTGATATTGGATCATCACTGTCGGTTTATAGCTAAAACCGACACTGATGCTATCACTGTCGGTTCTAGCCAAGAACCGACACTGATATTGGGTCATCACTGTCGGTTTTTTGGTAACAGAAAACTTTCATAACTTTCTCATATGATGTTCGACGAAGACGAACTTTATATCAAAACTGAAGTACTCGACGAGATCTACAACTTTATAGTTCAAACTTTTTTTATTTAAGATCGTTTGGATGTCTAAATATACACCACAAGAGTTTATAGAATTAATACAAATGAGTCCATACGCTCTATAGTCATAAGTGAGTGTGCAGTGTTAGTTAAGGATCTCGGATAGAGAAGTGACCAAAATAAAAGTTGTAGATATTGAAAAGTTATGTAACTTTTAGTTTACAAGTTTCTTATTTGAAGTCGTTATGATGTCACTCTATTTGATTCGTAAGATTTCATAGAAGTTAATACCAACTAAAGGCACATGTTCTATAGTCATAAGTGAGTGTATAGTGGTATTTGAGAATCTCGGATGAAGAAGCAATTAAAATGAAAGTTATAGATCTCGAAAAGTTATGCAAGTTTGTAGTTGAAAACTTTTTTTATTTGAAACCATTTATCTAACGAAAATTACGTTTGACTTCTTAAATTTAAAATTTGAATTTTTCAAACGACCTCGGATGGAGAAACACCTAAAACAAAAGTTGTAGATCACGCAAAGTTGTACAACTTTGCAGTTGATAACTTTTAAATTTGAAATCATTTATCCAACAAAAATTACGGTTGAATTTTCTCACATTTGAAATTCAAATTCTTCAAATGACCTCGGATGGAGAAATGACCAAAACCAAAGTTGTAGATCTTGAAGAATTATAAAATTTTGTAGTTAACAACTTTTTCATTTGAAATCGTTTAGCGTCCCAAATACTCATTTTAAAATCAGATGAACATAAAATGGTTAGGACGAATATCTCATTTGGACGCAAGCATCTCACTGATGGAGTGGTTAGGGGCTGAATTGTAGAAGATATCTGTCCGGCTTGGTTTTTACTGTAGCTGTATTGTAGAAGATACTGTAGTGGAGCTGGACGATCACGCAGCTTTAGGGGCTTTTCTCGTTAATTTTAGTGTATATCCCGTCAAGATCTCACTACTACATAACTTAACTGTAGGGGCGGCTCTACAACCTCTGTAGGGGCGGTTGCGCCAGCCGCCCTTTCTAGTGTGTTCCTATAGAGGGTGCCTCTGTAGGGGCGGTTTCCTGACCGCCCCTGCAGTGCCCTCTGTAGGGGCGGCTGATGTTTTCAGCCGCCCCTACAGTGCCCTCTGTAGGGGTGGCTGGTAATATCAGCCGTCCCTGTAGTGGACTTCTGTAAGGGCGGCTGTATCACCAGCCGCCCCTGCTGTGTGTATTTGTAAGGGTGGTTCAATCAAGAACCGCCCCTACAGTGGATTTTGCAGCAAAAATAAATA